CCAGCCAACCATGGACTGCATCCATTGGAACCACGAGCCAAGTAAACATTTCCTCCTTTAAGTTGTGGGAGTCAGGTACTGTATTTTTTTTCCCCAGTGACAGAAAGTAACTAGCACGGGGAGGGGCGATTGAGCTCATAACATGTTGGATGAGGCCCCACCCCAATGATGTCATCTTAACTTGATCACGCCGGTAACGGTATTTCTAAATGAGATCACATTCTGCTATCCCGAAGGCTAGGGCTTCAACATACCCTTTTTTGAGGACACAAGTCAGCCCATAACAGGGGCCATGTGCCCTGGCACACAGTCTCCAGGAATCCTGACACCACGAGCAAGCTGGAGCTGGCCCACTGCAAGGCGAGTGACACACAGCCCCGTGACCCCTGTCCCTCAGCCCAACATTCGGCCAAGGGCCCCAAAGCAGAGCCACCAGCGACCCCAAAGCTGGCTGCAGCTATATGAAGGAGTCCTGCCAGGGTCAGAAAAACCACCAGGATGAGCCCAGCTTAATTTGGGATCTAAGAATTGTGAGATGAACACCCGATTGTTTTAAGCCACTAGAATTTGAAGGGGTTTGTTAGGCCGAAGAAGCAATGGATACACCCAGGCGGAGTGAGATTAAGTGGTACACACAGGCTGCATAGCTCCATGGCAACCCCGGTCAGGGACAAGACAGTTGTCAGTTTCTGCCAAAGGACTCACAGGGGCAGGGAAGGCAGTGGGGATCCAGGACAGGGAGGGCAGAGGGTGCAGAGGACTGAAGGCACCGTAATAACACATCCCCCTGCAGCCAGGGTGCCCCTCTGCCCCAGTTCTGATGAGATCGTTCCCGTTTCACGGATGGGCAGACTGGGGGCACTCACGAGGGCTTCCTGGAGGAAGCCGAGTCCCGAAGGATGAGGGGGAGCTACCCAGTGCAGAAGGAACAGGAAAACACATGAGGCAGAGGGAGAAGCCACATGAAGCCACCGAGAATTTGGCTCAGGGGAGGCCCGAGGTGCAAAGTGGAGGCTGTGTCGAGATGCAAATGGGCACAGGGAGACCCTGTCAGTCTTTGAAGGTGACGTAAAGCTTTGCCTTAGATTCTGGAGGTCACAGGCAGTAGTTCAGTCAGCTACTGCTGCAAAACAGTGCTGCAGAACAAGCACGCACAAGTGCAGTGGCCTCAAATAATCATTTCTTGCCCGATGGGGGTGGGCGGATCCATGGTAGGATGAGTTGGGCTTGATTCCAGGGGTCAAGGTGGTTCCACAGGTCCCTTGGCCTCCTGAAACCAGGTGGCTCTTGGGGCCACATCCTTCCCCTGGAGGGGCAGAAACAGGGCCAGTTTCGACATGGCACATTTCAAGCCTCGGCTTGAAATCCCAGTGGGCAACACAATTCCCCCAGCCAGACCCACCATCCATCGGACCGGGAAACCTATTCCGCCCTTAGTCAGAGAAGGACAACTGGGCAGGGAACGGTTTCTGTTTATTGAAGAGCTTTGCAACTCCAAGCACACACACACCGTCCTGGGCTGGGAGAAGCCTGTTTGAGGACCACGATGAAGATAGCGATGATGGCGTAGCAGGGATCGCTGTGGCCAAGGCCTGGACAAACACCATCCTACTAAAATGCGATCAACATGCATGGTCGGCATTATTCTATTTAATGGATGAGCAAACAGGCAAAGACAGAGCCGTGACTTGCCCAAGCACGCGGTGTGGGAGGGGTGGCAGAGCCTGCTCCAGCCTCCTGTTCCCGAGGATGCCTGTTCTAAGCACCCCACTGCCTGCTCACCTACCTAGGGGCCACACTGCGCCCTGGGCAGTGCCACTCTTGATTTAAGGGCTCTTGATCTAAGGGTTCCTGCTCAGAAAGGTATTGAGCTAAGTGCTGGTCCCAGCAGCTTCGGTGGAGAGTGCTTGGGACTGACATCTGTGATGCACCTGTCCCTTCTCTCCTCTGCTCCCCTTCCTCCCTCCTTCCCGTCCTGTAGCCAGGGTGAGCTTTGGAAGGAGCAAATGGCAGCTACCTCTCTCCCCTGCTTTCAAAAGCATCTAGAGCCATGGTAGCGAACCTTTGTTAAGCACAGTGGGCTGTTTGTATCATTGAAAGCTCTGAGAGGTTCGCCCTTGCGGTTCTAGACAATACAGCCCTGCAGTCAAAGCCCGAAGCTTGTGAAGCTTTAGGACAAAAGCTTCCTCTGCTGCGCTCCAGCCCCTCCTGCAGACACACACGGGTAACCGCTCTTCTCATTTTTCTTGAGTTTTCTCCAGAATTGGGTTTTGCATATACAGGCAAAAAGAAATATAGATTCTTTTACCTGCACATTTTTGTTTCTAAACACACAATCTAGCATATTTTACACGGCCTTGCAAGCTTGTCTCCCCCACTTAATGCACCTTGGCAATATTTCCTTCTTGACTTGGAAAACTCCCTCTCTCATCCTTTACAGCTACAGAGGACCTCACTGAGTGAGGCTGTCACTTCCTTTATGGGTTCCTGTGCTCTGGGACATTTGGGGGCTGCAGTTCTTTGCTATATCACAAAGTGTCAGGAACTTGTACACATGGCCAAGGGAAGTTTATCTGCAGGGCAAATCCCCAAGCAGGGCTGCTGAACTGAAAGGGCCGTGTGATTATAGCTTTGATAGTTACCGCCAAATCCCTCCCAGGCTGAACCAGTTTACAGTCCCGCGGGCAATGCACCGGAGAGCCTGTTTCCCTGCACCCCACCATCAAACTTAGCTTCTTGCCAATCAGTTAGGTAGGAAATGTTCTTCTGCCTTTACAATCCTTTCATCGTATCTCCAATCCTCTCTAGGATAAATTCCCACTTTGCTGGGCAGAGTTGGGCTCAGCCCCCTCCTTTCTCAAGGCTCATGGAAGCCAGGGAAGGAGGCAGGGACACGGCTCAGCTCAGTGGCCTCAGGCTTAGCAGCAGCACAGGGCGCTTCCTTTGAAGCAAGCTGAGGATTCCCAAGAATGAGACAGGGCCGGGCAAGATGGGCGCCCAGCAAAACTGGCTCTCACAGACATCTCACGGGGTGGCCGGGAGGGGGTGCACTCCCTCGGCCTCGCTTGTGCCCTTGGCCCCTCCTCCTGCAGGGCCGTGCCACCCTGGCACGCAGGATGCCTGCACATCCTCGCGGACCCCCGGCTGCAGCTGTGTCCAAGTGAGCGAAGAGCATCTCATTAAGCTTGGTAAAGCCCATTAGACCTCAGGCACGGATCGGCAGCAAACGAAGGTCAAGGCTCTTTGCATGGGAGTCGGTGCCTCTGGGACCCTGTGGCATCAGCAGTCACAGATGAGATGATGGGTGACCCATTTGTAGGTGAGGAGGCAGCCAGCTGTGTGGCCAGAGTTCCCCAGAACACCCAAATTGTCACCCCGGTCCTTCCCCCAGGCTTGTTCCGCCCTGCTCTGGGAGGAAGACAACTGCTGGTTGGGAATGGGACAGATCGGTCACCACTCAGGACCTCAAGGGACACGGACAAGTCTGTTTGGATGAGGTGAGGCATCCCTTTGCTGGGCCCCAGGCATAACATGGGACCCCAACTTTCAGGGGTCCTGAGGGTCACAGCAGCTGCACAGATGCCAGGGAGCCCTAGCCACCTTGGGAGAGGTGGCAGTGGGACATGGTATGACACTGACATGCCAGGTAGAAGCCAAGGGGAGGAAGAGCTGTCCTTTCAAAGTAAATGGGCCGAGAGAGGGCTCTTTATGAAGCGGCTTCATGTGGGCTGCATGCAAATTATATGCAAATGACCTCACCTCCACATTGGAGCTGCATTATGGGGAGGATCTCAGGACAAGGACTTGAGATGACAGCCCTTTCCTGGAGTCCTGGCCTTTTCCCCTAAGCTCCACACCCTGCAGGGATGGCAGGCGTTTGGGAGAGGGTCGGCCCTGCAGATCCAGCCCCCACACGAGGGCCACCTGGACCTGGGTCAGGGCCGCGCCTGCTCCTGGGCAGGACCCTTCCCCTCTCCTTGGCCATCTAGGAAAAGAAGGAAAACAACCATGTGAAGTCTTTTGCAGACTCAAGGGGTCTCCTTGCATATTTTAGGAACACGTCTCTCAATCTGAGCCCCTGAGCTGGAATGCATTGAGCCTGCTACACAGTGGTGAATCCCCTGGAGTGCTGAAGTCCTGACCCCGGCACCCCTGAACGGGAGTGTGTAGAAACAGGGTCTTTGCTGCTGATCAGGTTAAGATGAAGGCATTAGGGTGGGGCCTGACCCAGTCTGACTGATAGCCCTCTTAACAAAGAAGCTGTGAAGAGAAACACAGAAAAGACCCACATGGAGGTGAAGGCAGAGTCTGGAGTGATGGGTCGGAAAGCCAAAGGTGGTGTCAGCAGGAGCTAGGGAGGCCCCGAGCCTCCAGAAGGAACTGGCCCTGCCAACACCCTGATTTTGGACATGCGGCCTCCGGAAGTGGGAGGACTCATCTCTGCTGTGCAAGCCCACAGCTGGTGCTTTGTTCTGGCAGCCACAGAGCCCAAAGCCAACCCTGAGAAGAGTGCCCAGTGCAGTGCTGGGTGCCAGCTGGTATCACTACTGGCTTAATTTCCTCACCGGGGATCAACAAACACCAAGCCCCGCTCCACACCAGCTGGCACAGTAGGCACAGTGGCGCGTACCTGCCCTGGAGACCACTCTAGGCTTCTTCCTCACCCTCCAAGATGAGGACTGGCTCAGCGTGTCCGGATTCACAAAGTTCAGAGAGCAGCGTGTACGACCAGGAAAAGACAGAGCCAGGCATTCAGAAGGCTCACAAATACCCACCGGTGGAGCCAGATGGGCCCGTGAAGACAGAAGCTGGCAGAGATCCCCAGGGCACCTGGGACGTTATTCCCAGGAGGCCTGGGCACCCTCTCCCTTCACACCTGTCCAGGGCCAGGCCAGCTCTGTACCAGGCTCCAGCAGGGCTGCAGAGAGCACTGGGCTCCTTCAGTGAAGAATGGGACGGAGCCAGTGATGCTCCAAATGCTCGTGTTAACAGCAGCGGGCCGCAGTCTCATTTCACTTTAATAGGAACCATCTGCCTCAGGCAGGCAGCAGGCAGGGCCAGGTCTCCCCGCAAGGGCTGCCCCCCGCAGTGTCCAACCTCAGAGCCATGGAGGGGAGAAAGGGGTTGGAGCTGTGGGGAAGGTCATGCTGGAGCCTGCATCCCCAAAGGGCCTCAGAGGAGGCCCCAGGCTGGGACCAGGACATGCACAACCTCAGGCCTGTCCCTCCGTCCTCGCTGGTCTGTAACAAAAGGCCCAGGAAGGACGTGTCACCCAGCACTGGCCACGCAAAGATGAAGGGAGGGGATGGAGCAGCGGTGAAGTCCCCACCCCTGAACCTGCTGCGCTCTTCCTGCAGGGGCATGCAGGAGGCTCAGGCTAGGGGGCAGCCCCAGGACAGTCACTCTGCCTCCTGGTGTCTCAGTTTCCACATCTGTAGAATGGGGCACCCGACACTCCTAGCCCAGAAGGCTGCGAGTACTGAGCAAGTGAGGGGAGACCCCTGAGGCGACCACCTGCCCTCACGGTGCCCAGGCAAAGGAGAGGGCTGCTCTCTGGCACTGTGGACAGAGCCCAGCCAGGCTGTCTGTGGCCCCCGGGGGGCGTGGTGGGTCTGGCTATTCATTATGCCCCCAGCTTGGCTCTAGCTGTGAAGACCGTGGTGTGGGCTCCAGTGTGGCCAGGCTGGGAACAGGGGTAGCCGGAGCTGGGCAGGGCAGCAAGGGCCTCCAGGTTGGGCCAGCCCCACACTCCAGGCTGAGGTGCGCAAGTTAGGCCCCTGCCGGGCTATAGGGCTGTGCCGCTGGGCAGGGGGATCTTGTAGCCACTGTGTAGGAGCACGAGGCAGGCACCCAGCCCCAGGGCCCCCGCCAGCAGCACGGCTCCCAGGGCCTTGAGGAAGGAAGTCCTGGTCCGGGTGAAGGAGCCAGGGGCCATGACACCCAGCAGGGCGGTGCTGACGGTGAGTGTGTAGAGGATGGACACGGCCGTGTTGAGCGCCACAATCTTCCCGAACTTGGCAAACGGGGCGATGACGCAGAAGAAGAGGGGCACGGTGGCGATGACGGTGGTGAGGGCGCTGGACACGATGGCCACACCCACGTGCCGCACAGCCTCCAGCGTCCGCCACTGGCGCTGTGCACCAGGGTCCTGGGGCGGCAGAGAGAGAGCTGAGTCCCAGTCCACTGGGGACCCTCCCATCCTGCACACAGCCCTGCCCGGGGCCAGTCCCACGCCAGGCCCTGATTCCTCCCCGGTCACAGGGTGCAGGTGTGCTGAGCGCTGCATCCGCAGAAAAGGGGTATTGATTAGGACTTTTTTGGGTGGTACTGGGACTGGAATCCTGGGCCTCATGTATGTTAGGCAAACATTCTGCCACTAAGCCTCACCTCCAGCCCTTTTTATATTTTGAGATAGGGTCTAAAATGTACAGGCTGGCCTTGAATTTGTGATCCTCCTGTCTCAGCCACCTGGTAGCTGGAATTACAGGCCTGTGACACCACACTTGGCTGTTTTGTTTTTTGGGGGCAAGAGCAATGAAATGTATAACTAACTTAATTTTTCCGTATTTACGAAGGTTTTGATTCCAATTCAATCCCAGACTAGAAAAAAAGCAAACCCAAAAACAACTTCAGCAGGCCGGTAGTTGGTTTGGTCTCTAAGTATATGAGCCAGAGAGCCAGAAGGGGGTTTGTGGCCTCAGGACCCAGCTGGGATGGCAGGAAGGGCCCATGTTCACGGTGTGTCTGGCCCATCTCCTCACTGCACACTGGGGAGACTGAGGCCCTAGGCCCCGTGGTCCCCTCTGGCTGCTCGGGCATCATGTGAGTCCCAGGGCTGTGTAGGCGGGCACCGGGAGCCCTCACTCCTAGGACACGGCCTGCTGAGGACACAGCGGTCCCAGGGGAGGCCGGAGGGCGCTCACCTCAGCCTGGTGTGAGGGCAGGTTCTCTCCAGCCAGCAGGTAGCCCTCCACCAGGTGCACGCAGTAATCCACGGAGGAGCCCACCAGGATGGACAGGGAGATGGCTTCCACGGCACCCATCTCCCAGCCGCTCCAGTACATGATGGTCACCACCAGGCAGACGATGCCTGCAGTGGGGTGGAGTGGCAGCTGGGACCGGCCCTCCCACAACTGCAGTCCTGAGCTGAACGCTGCTCTAGAGGGAAGCCTGGTTCCAAAGCCACTGTCACCGACAGCACCCAGGGAGGGGTAGTCTGGAGAGCAACCTGCTGACACTGCCTGTTCCTGTCCCCCCAAGCCCAGGCCATCACCCCCTCACCCACCTACCCAGGATGCTCAGCAGCACAGGCAGCAGGAGCAGGATGTGGGTGGTGAACACGGCCACTGCGGCCACACAGATGAGCAAGGAGAGGACCAGGCCGAAAAGGGCGCTCTGCACCCCTGGGAGGGAAGAAGTGGGGCTGAGGGACTGTGGGACAAGGAGCCTGTGGCCCCCCCAGTCCTTGGTCTAGAGGTTGCAGGGTCCACCGATGCGCGTTTCCAGCTAGCAGTGTTGCTCTAGGCCATGTGACCCTTTGTTGACAGGGCCAGTCCCCTCCCAGGGAGGGGCTTGTTGAGGTTCAGGTGCTAACACAGGGCCTGGCACCTCAGAAAGGCTTTTAACGACAGCTGCCCACGGGCACAAGGGTTACCGTTTAGCAGACCAGATCCAAGACCAAACAGTGTGGCCAGAAACCTCCAAGCAGGGAGGACCCAGCCCTGGTCTCTGATCTCCAGGGCTCTTGGCTAGGACTAGGGACACGAGCGTGGCTCTGGGAGGCCACCCCTGCCTGCCTGTGCTCACCTATGATCTCCATGAAGATCTGCTTCCAGTGCTCGCAGGTCTGGAAGCCACGGTGCAGGGCTGAGCCCTCAGGGAAGGCCTGCAGCTGCTGCTGGAGGAAGCTTTCCCAGCGCAGGTAGTCTGAGTAGGTCTGGAAGGAGGACTTGCCCTTATACGTGGTCTGCAGGGACAGGGCTGGTGAGACGGCGGGGCTGTGGCCTGCTTGCCCTCCCCATGCTGTGGCCCCGCTTGTGGATAACGGGGGGTGGATGAGCAACGATCCAGCCCCAGCAAGCCACTCTGGCCTCTGGATACAGCCTTTCCCAACGGAGCCACTGGAGCTCCCAGAAGCCTCTGCGCTCCCCACCTGCACAGTGGTATAAAGCTCTGCCCTTGCTAAACATGAGCCAGCCTCCAATGTGTGTGTGTGTGTGTGTGTGTGTGTGTGTGTGTGTGTGTGTGCACGTGGGTGTGCACATTGCCGGGGTCAGCTTGGAAGTGGATGCCCTGCCCTGGACACCCTGAGTATTTATTTAGGGTAAACACACAGAGTGGAATGGAGTGCTGGGCTGGCAGGAGCGACAGGGAGTTTAACGGGACAGTTTCAGCTGGGGAAGACGAGAAGTTCTGGATGGGGGGCAATGACAGTCTTGAGAGTGTTCTTTATGCCACTGAACTGTGCGTTAGAAATCTAAGTTGGTAGGTTTTATATCGCATGTTTTATTGTTTTGCTTTGTTTGGTTTTTTGAGACAGGGTCTCACTATGTAGTTGAGTCTGACCTGGAACTCACTGTGTAGCCCAGGCTCACCTCGAACTCCCTGCGATCCTCCTGCCTCAGCCTCCCAAGTGCTGGGATTACAGGTGTGTGCCACCACGCCCAGCTTATATTGCATGTTTTATCACAGTAAATGAACAAACAAACAGTGAGGGTGTCTGGGGCCCTTCTGCCTGGTGGCTGGAGGTTTCCCACAGTCAGGAGGCGAGAAGGGCCGAGGGCTGGAGAGGAGGCATTGCCTGCCACTCATCACCTGGTCACTATTTTTCTTATGCCTAGAGCTTTCCCTGCTATTTCCCATTTGCTGACGAGGAATGTGGGAACCTGGGGGACTTATTCGAGGACACTGAGCTCCCCAGGCTCAGGACAACACTGGGCTGGGGGCCTTGCAAGGAGGCGGCAGGGACAGCCGTGCAAGCCTCCAACAGCAAAGTGCAAGGCCCACGTTGGAGGTGTGCGTATGCCTGCATGCGTGCGCACCTGTGTGTGCACCTCCGTGGGCAGAGCCCTGGTGTCCAGGGTGACAGAGGAGGCGGGAAGACAGGTGGGTGGCTGTTCTCACTTCGAGCTCCCCTCCCCTGGCCACCCAGATGAGGCCCTTCACTTCTGTGGCCTTGGCCTCCATGGTGAGGGCACTGTGCCAGGCCCCCGGTGTGGGCACAGGGGCTGGGGGCGCAGCTCTGCGGCCAGAGCTAGACTGACACTTGCTGGCCATGTGGCCTCAGGCAGAGTTTTCAGAACCCCTCGTGGGTCTGCGGCTGGCACCAGCTCAGGACAAGCACTATGTGTGTGCCCAGTGGGGCGCCGGGGCTCACCGACTCAAAGGCCATGGAGATCCACTGCACGCGGCCCTCCTTGACGCCCACGGCCCCGTGGGACAGCTGTCCCGGCAGCAGGTTGGGCTCCGGCAGCTCCTTGCACTCAGGGTGCAGCATCCGTAGGAACGCAGAGATGCTGTAGCCTTCGGGGATGTGGGCGGGGTGCTGGTGAGAAGCGGGGCAGGGTGGCCCGTCCCACCCACCACAACGGCCACCCAAAGTAACGATGGGCAGACCTGCTGCTGGGTGGACGGTGACATTTGGGGCCCTCTCAGGGACAGCCCAGATGTGACCTGAGCCAGGGTCTCAGGCCCAGCCCCAACTTCAGAGCCCTCCCTCCAGGGTGCCCCCACCATGCCCTTGAGCCCTCCCCGCGGGTACCCGGATCCACTTACACACCTGAGGGCAGGCACTGGGCCCCACCCGGCTTCACCAGCTCCATGTTGCTTGCGATGGCCTTGCAGAGGCGACACAGGTGTCCAATTTCTTTGAAGAGGTCAAAGCTGCTATCATAGATGACACTGCCCTTTCCCAAGGAGATACAGACGGCCAGGCCCCTTAGTGAGATGGGGACTCGGTCCTGGGCTCCATTCCCACCCCCCACCCCTGGGTCTGAATGTGGGCAGAGTCCGGCTGGACTGAACAGACGATCCCGACCCCACCCTGCCCTGACCTCGGTCACAGTGGCTGTCCTGTGGCTGCTATGTCCACCGGGCCCCTGACCACAGAGCCCCGGCACTTGTCACCTGTCCTGGCTTAGCCCATGCTTCCCAGATCTCTGCACCCAGCGTAGAGCTGGAGCAGGAGTAGAGTGAGGTAGAGGGATGGGGACATCGTGGGGTGGGACGCACCACTGAGGCCAGGAGGTGAGGCTGGGCAAGGCTGCCCCCTCTCCAGGCCCAGAACAAGGCAGAGATCTTCCTTGTGTATGTCTCATCTCTGACCCAGACCCTCGGGGCCCCCAAATGTGCCCTGATCCCCAGTGCCTCTAAGTCAGCCCTGCTCAGCTATCCACAGGAGCGAGGCTCCCAGCATCCTGTGTGGGCTGGAGGAGCCAGTGGGCTGGAAGGGGCTGGGCTGGTGGCCTGTGTACCGGGTCTCCAATGACGTGGTTGTCCACCTGTCGGGTGCGGTTGATGCCAATAATGCCAAAGACCACGAAGACCATGGCCCCGGTGTCCACCAGGGGACGTACTGCTGGCTTCCCACAGCCTGTGTTCACGCAGGGGTTAAAGCCGAATGTGGCGGACAGTCGGGCCCTGGGCACTGGAGAGGAAGCCAGGGCTATAAGGAGGCCAGGCCCAGGTCCCCAGCCCCACGGCAGGGGCCCATGGGTACCTTTCTCGCTGGGCACGTAGAAGAAGCCCCTGGTAGGCCCATCGGGGCTGGAGCTGAGCAGACAGCCAGGGGGCGCCATGCACACGCGCCCATGGAAGGGGGGCTTGTGGGACTGGGCAAAGTACAGCTTCCTGTGGAGGCAAGGGAGGCGGGGGCTGAGGCTGCAAGCACAGCCAAGGGTCTGCAGACCCGGCCACTCCCACTCCTGACAAGGGGAGAGGGAAACAGTGTGCTCATTGTCTTCCAGGGGGCACAAGGGTGCAGGCCCCAGCACCTCAGTTAGGAGCCGTCTGAAGCAGGGGCTCCAGACCGAGCTCAGAGCTCTTTCTGGAAGCTTCACGCTCACCCAGGCAGCCCCAGCCACTGGCCACTTCGCGTGTGCAGAGCCAGCCCATGCTTGGGTGTGGGACACGACTGGCAGAGGGCTGGAAGGGATGCAGTGCGAGCTGCACCCTCCGCCCTGCTTGTCCTGCCTCGTGTGGGACCTTGACGGCCTGCAGCTGCTGCCACAAGAAGCCTTGGTCCCCACTGTGCCACCGCATGGAGCAGGAGTGTTTCCCCCCGCACACACAGTGCCGTGTATGGCTCATCCCCGACCCCCAGCCCCACACAGCCAGTGAAAAGGACCTCTGCACCTGCGCACTCAGGGCCTTGTTCAATGCCTGGGGAATGGAATCCGAGATGGGATGCCCAGGGCCCTGCAGACCTCAGAGGCAGGGAACACAGCCTGTGGTACTCAGGCCGTCGGGCACAGGCCGCAGCAGGGACTGAGGACAGAGCAGGTGGCTGCCAGACAAAGCTGCTTGCTCTGTCACAGCCCAGGGGGCAGGGAGCCGTCACTTCCCACGTGAACACCGCACCCGTGCAGTGTGGGTCAGCGCTAGGAGGAAGTACTGGGGGAACTCACTTCCTCGACTGGCAAATATTTAGTCAGCACCTGCTGCATGCCAGACATTGCACCAAGGGCTGGGGACACAGCAGGGGCAAACCCACCAATGTGTCCTGCAGGATGGGAACTGCTCCTGGGGATGGACCAGTCACAGGACAGGGCCAGAAAGAGCAGCATGATGCGTGGAGCCCCGGGCAGGTGACACTCTACGGGGGAGGTCTGCTCAGGGACAACCTCTCCCAGGAGGTGACACCTGAATCTCAAGAGGTCAACCACACAGGAGCTGGGAGAGCATTCTGGGTAGAGGGGACAGCAAATGCAAAGGCCCTGGGGTGGAACCCTGACTACAGAGTAGTGACATGGCCACCATGACCCCTGTGGCACTGGTGGGGACAGCAACAGGCTGGGCAGGCAGATGACGGGTCTGCTGTTTTTGCCAGTGTCCCCAGCCCAGGGCACAGTGACATCTGAACAGGCACAGGCAATGGACAACAGTCTCCTGAAGGCTCTCTCATGTGAAACAGAGAGAGGAGACAGAGAGAGAAAGAGAGTGCTCATGCTCCTCCTCTGCAAGGCGGTTACCGGGTGTGCTGCTGCTCCTTGGCGGCCACGTAAAAGCTGAAGTCAAACTTCCAGCCCCGCTTGGCGTCACAGGCCAAGGTCGTCACCATCCACTTGCGGGAGGGGCTCGCGGCCTGGAGCAGCCCTACTGTAGACATACAAGCGGTCAGCTTCTTGGTGAAGTCACCAAAAGGCGCTCTATACACCTAAGCAGTGGATCGACAGAGACAAGACACGTGACTCGGGGAGGCGGCCTGGCCCAGCCTGGCCTCAGGGTCCCCTCCCTCCTCACAGGTCCCGCCCTACCCTGGCCTGGAGAGGGGACAGCGCTCCGGGCAGAGGCTCTGGAGGCCTGGGTTTGAGTCTGAAAACTGGGCAAATCCTTTCTTCCTTCTGAGCCTCATTGCTTCCTCCACCAAATGCTGCCCCGGTAGCGATTCGGGTACCAGGCAAGGTGCCAGGCTCTCAGGGCATGGTGGTGAGGGGGACAGGCAGGTCCCCATCCTCACAGAGCTGGCATTTAGGATGGGCAGAGACCTGCCCTGATTCTGGCGAGTTGAGGGTGATTGGAGGATGGATGGCAGGGAAGAGGAGGCCACAGAGGAGGGAGGCCAGGCACGACGGGGCAGTCGGAGAGGTGACATCTGTGCCCCTGCCTGGGAGAGGACTCAGGAGGCAGCCGCACAAGGAGCTGTAGGAGCCTTGGGCAGAGGTCAGCATGGCAAAGGCCCGGGGAAACAGCAAGGGAAACGCAGACCTTGAACCAGTCACCTAGGGCCGTGACACGTTCAAGGAACACAGGACCCCGTGAAGGGAAGGAGGAGTCTGGACCGGCCCGGGGAGACTCCAGGGCGCCGCAGCTGCTGCTGAGAACACAAAGATGAGCTAATGGCTATCAATCACAGGGCACTTGCTGTGTCCCCGCACGCACTGCACAGGCCTTGCTCCACGCCTCTGACAAAGCCAAGTGGTGTGGTTTATATCCCCATTTCCCAGAGGTGGAAACCGAGGCTCAGAGAGATGAGGTAATCTGCCCAAAGACACAGAAGTTATGCACGGCAGAGCCAGGACTCAAACCCAGGCCGGGCTGATCTGGAACCCCTGGCTGCTACCACTCTGCAGGTGGCTGTCACAGGCCTGGCTGATGGATGGCAGCCCTCATCTGCTAGCAGCCCCATCCTCAAGGACAGGAGTCCCCAACCCTCAGCCACAGACTGGTGAGGGTCCCAGCGGGAGCTAAGTGGCTGGCATTATCACCTGAGCTCTGCCTCCTGTCAGACCAGTGGGCATTAGATTCTCATTGGACTGCAGACCCTGCTGCAAACTGCACTGTGAGGGTGTAGTCCCTCCTTCCTTATGAGAATCTAATGTAATCACAACAGAAGTAAGGTGCTCCATAAATGCAACGTGCTCAAACCATCCAGAAAACATCCTCCCACTGCCCGGTCCATGAAAACTGTCTTTTACTAAACTGGTGCCAAGAAGGCTGGGCACTGCTGCTTCCCTCTCCCAACACGGCCCGTGCCCACTATATGGCACTGAGGCCCCTCCCCGGTGGTGGCTGCAGCTCACTTCACGACAGCCCAGGCTCACCTGGAAGGAGGGCACCTCTCCGTCCCCGGGGGACACGGCCTGCCAGGGGGTGGGCACGCTGGCATTGAGGGACAGCCTGTAGACAGTGGGGTGGCCTTTACTCTTCACCTTGGAGACGTACACGGTGCTCACAGTGTCTAGGGACAAACGAGGACGGAGAGGGGTGGACAGTTACCCGGACAGCCTGTGGGCGGGGAGCAGAGGCCTGGCCTTGGGCTGGCCTCCAGGTGGGCTTTTTCCTTCTGCTGGACCAAGTCAGCGGTGACAGGAGACGGTGGTGGCATGGGCAATGGGCACCGCAGTGTGAACGGAGGGGTTGGTGTTGGTAGTGATCACGGCGGGCGGGGCAGAGATGGTGAGAGGGTCGCAGGCTGACAGGGACTCATGACTGCCCACAGTGTTTAATCCCGCAGCATCTCCCCGGCTTCTACCCTGGTCCTGGCAACGATTCCAGCAGCCAGACTCCAGCACCCAGGTGCCCCTCTGGACACTCAGGATGGCTTTGGTGACCGGGGCAGGTTCCTGGGGCACCGCAGGCCAGGCTGAGCCATGGCAGAGAAGCCCAGGGCTCAGGCCTGGGGGAACTGCTGCGATGGTGGGTAGGACCCCAAATTCCCCACACGTGCAGCCCCCAGTGGTCCAGCAACACAGGCGCTCAAGCTTGCAGGAGAATCAAGATAGATCGCACACCCTCCGGTCCCTGGGTCCCCACCCTGCACCCTGCACTCACCCTGCAGGGTGGCTTCAGGCCGGCTGGCCCAGGAAGCCCCGGAGCCTCGCTTCTTTTTCTCCAGTGACGTGCGGGTGTTGGTCTGCAGGCTGTGAGGCTTCTCCTGAAACAGACCTGTCCCCCACCACGTCAGAGACAGCAGGCTTCCCTGGCCAGGTTCAGGGGCCAAGGGAAGAGGCCTTTCAGTGTCAGGGGACTGAAAGGGTCTTGGCTGAACTGACAAAGACACGGAGGAGTGGATTTTGTCCTCTGGGCCAGGCCTGCCCGAGGGAGACCCAGGGGCACGCACCCCACTGTCTCTGTCAGTGGGAACGAGGCTGCACTTCCCACCAAGGGTGCAAAAAAAAAAACAGGAAGTCACCCCTCCTGCACTGGCCCACATTAGAAGTGTCAGCCCTCGGAGCAATCTGGGAGATCATCATTGTCCACCCACTGGCAGCAGCAGGGGAGGTGGTAAGTAACCTGCCCAGGACCGGAGTGGAGCCCAGCCTCCGCCAGGTGCTATCCGGGAGCTCTGAGGCCCCCCGAGACCTGGGTGCCAGCCCTGAGGGCAGGTGGGCGGCCTGAGGGAGCAGCAAGGACAGTGTGGCTCTGTGCCCAGGCAGGTGTCCAGCGGCTGGCACAGGGCCCAGCTGCTCTGATCCCGAGGGGCCCTGGGCACCTCTCTGAGCTGCGCTCGCTCGACCGTCGCACCCTCGGCTAATGCCATGGTGGAGGGGAGGCCAGGTCAACGGGAATCCGGCCCTCATCATGGCAAGGCTGGCGGCAACTCTCCCACCAGCTGGGGGCCTTTCACACAGCGCCGTGACACCAGGCTGCCCTATGCAAGGCAACAGCTGGTCCAGGACCCCCTGTGCCTCCCCGCCTCATCCTGACACCCGCTCGTCACGCCCCATGGGAAGCAGATCACCCTGAAGTCCTCTCGACCCCTACTACACTGTCACCTTGCTGGCCCTGGACCACTATGTCTCTCGCCTCGGCCTCCTGGCCAGCGTCCACCCTGCCTCTCCAGCCCACCTCCACACAGACCCTGGGGGACCCAATCACAGCCCTTCTTTGCTTGACCCCTTTCCCACGGTCTCAGGGACAACTAGAATGGAGTCCAGAGCCCTCCCACTGGCCCGCCTGGCCATGCCTGCTCAGATGATCTTCCTCTTCCTCAGGGCATGCTCTGCCCTCTGCCCAGGCCCTCGCTCCCCGCGACCCCCGCCTGGCCAACTCCTCTCCCCTCCCCCAGCCTTGTAACTCCTTCTTGCTCTCCCAGCCTCTTCCAGGAGGCCCTCTTGACATTGTGCTCCAAGGCACCTTGTCATCCTCCCCCAGAGCCCACACCTACTATTACAATGGCCTGTCCCTACCACCGGAAGCGGGTCTCTTCTGCCCTTGTGTTTCCCAGAGCCAGTGGATGGGGGGAGCGCAGGGGTATTTGTGTAATGGAATGTGGGGACACAGCGGCCTGAGGCCACACAGTGATCGGGAGCCCTGCCTGCCGGACCCTCACCTGAGCAGGTGATGCAGGAGATGCCCTCGGCACTCAGGTTGTACTTGAGGTCCAGCAGCACCTGGATGTTTGTATCAGGCCGGAAGAGCAGTGGCGCCCGGCTGGCGGGGCGGAGCCGGCTGGCAAACACCAGGGACAGGATGAGGGTGGACGAGAAGAGCCCTGTGGGGGAGGACACTGAGATGGGGAGCAGGGAGGATCCACGCCGGCCAAGCCTGCTCAGTCGGGGGACAAGGGTGCTGAGTGCACAGCTGGTAGGCAGTGCCTGCTAGGGACAGGTGGCTGTCACACAGGGGCCCCCTGGGTCTGACTATAAGCTACAGGCTGCCTGCTAGGGCCTGGATCCTAAGAGGCGTTGGAAAGCACAGGTATCAAAAGGCTTGGTCTCTGCTGCAGGTGCTATCTGGGGTGGGACTGGGATCAGGCAGCGTCTCGAGCACACAGCAGCTCACAAAGAACGAGGGTGTCCCTTGATCACACCTGACTCTGACACATGAGCGGAGAGGGCACTGGTGCTGAACTCTCACAGAATGGTCTGCATGTTGCGGGCAGAGCTAGGACCTGTGTAGATGTGGCTACAGCACTCCCCAAGTGGCCTGCGTGCTAAGCGAACTCTCCCTCTGATAGACACTGCCAGCCCCTCGATGGTAGTCCTGTCCTCTGCTACAGGACAGAAAATCCAGCGCCACGCTGGATTAGCCAAGGTCATACAGCACATGACAGGTCGGGATTCGAATCTGTCAGGTTGGTCTCCAGAGCCCAGCGCTAGCGCTCTGCTGCCCAGCAGGAGGACGGTATACAGCAGGTGCTCACTAAGCGATGGCCCAGGCTGTATGCAGGCAGGTGAGGCCCAGAGTGAGGGCCTGGCCCAGGACTATGGGACGAAGGCTGCTCCTCCATATCCTGGGAGTGGAACTGTAAGAAGGGGGTGGGGCTGCAGGAGGGCGGAGCTGTTCAGAGGGTCGGGGCAGGCAGCACTCACCCACGATGACCCAGCGGCTCTTGACTGCCGACCACAGCACCCAGTGGTGCAGCAGTTCCTGCAGCTGCCCAAGGAGCTGGCCCCGGCTGTCTGGGTCGGGGGCTGGCTGCAGGCTCGAGGTGGGCACAGATACCAGGGACACATCTCCCAGCTCCAGTGACACTGCCGGGGCAGAACAGCAGCCCTCAAGGTGGTGGCACAGCCAGCCTGGTCCGCGCCCTCTCCAGGAAGGCCCCCGTGCAGGGTGAGGGTTCCCTAGGCCGTCCTCACCCCTGGCAGCTCTCACCTGGCTCCTCGTCCACGTTCAGCAGGGGGATGTCGTCGTCCAGGTAGGGCATGGGGCCCTGGGCAGGGCTGTCCCCAGCCCGCTCGGGAGTGGCAAACACATCCCCAGGGAAGTGCAAGGAGCTCTTGCGGCCACACTTCTGGTGGCAGCTGGAGAGAGGAGGGGCACAGTGAGCTGGGGGTCAGGCACCCAGGGGACCAAGGAGTTGCTTGGGGACTGAGGACAAGAATAACATCCATGCAACGAAACCCGCTCTGCAGAAAAGGAAACTGAGGCATAGACAGGCTGCACAGTCTTCTGAGGTCCCACAGACCCTGCATCCCAGAACTATGGGGAAGGCGAGCCCGGGCTGCGGTCTCTGTAGAAAGCACGAAAAGTGCCCTTCTCCCAAGACACTCTGCTTTTGTGTCATGAGACTGTTAGAGAAACAACCACACTGAATGGTGCAGGCCAGGGCGGCCTCACACAGAGCCCAACCCGCACCACTGTACACAGTGGCCCTGGAGGAGTCTGCCGCAGGCTCAAGTCTGAGCCAGGCCCTCATCTCCCTCACCGTGGTCAGGCGGACGTCGATGTGGAGCCCCAACCTGCATGGAGCAGGGCCTCTGTGTGGCCCGAGACCATCCCTCACCCCTCCCAGCCCAAGGCACCCAGGCCTAATCCACTCTGCTGCTCCCTGCCCCTCTTCCAGGCCACCTCCCTGGGCTCCCTGGTGCCTGCAGGCTGCCCGGGGAGAGGGGCGGCTCATCTCCACCGCGATGAAGCCAAGAGCACCAGGTGTGCCCCGATCAAATCCCGGCTCTGCTACCTACTAGGGGGGTGACCTTGAGTAAGCTGCCCACTTTCCTGAGCGGCAGAGGCCCAGCTCACCTGGCCCTGCAGGAGCTCTCTAGCGGGGCCAGGTAAAGGCCCCAGAGCCCCAGGGCAGCGGGCATGGTGAAGAGCACGGCCAGCCAGCAGCAGGACACGATGAGCGACATGAAGAGGCCAAAGTCGTGCACGGCAGGGATCTGGAGGGGGAGGAGGGGCTGGTCAGGCCTGGTGCCTGGGCTGCAGGGGACACTTGGGACCCCAGAGCACTGGAAACTGAGGCAGGACAGGGAGGCCGGGCACTGCAGGGGAGGGCGCATGGTGTGACCCAGGTGTGGCGGCCCCTGCTGCCTACAGCCCCAGCCCGCACCAAGCACTATGTTCACAGCTGTCATTTGGAGAGAACGGGGCCAGGGACCAGGCCAACCAAAGGGTGCACTGACAGGGGGAAGGGAGAAGGGGATGCTGGGAGACGGAAGAGGGGATGCGCCAGTGGGGAGAGAACGGAACCAGAGGGCAGACAAGCTTGCCCTGGTTGTGAAACGCCTTCATCACCTTCTCATTTCACTCCCACAATCATCCAAATGTGAGGACAATGGGACCAGAGGGGTTAAGCAACCTGTCCAGAGCCGCACAGCAGGACTTGAACCAACTCTTCCTGCTTTCCAGATGTGGCTCTCCAGGATCGGCCTGGAGCACCCAGTGGTTTCCAGGTGGGCACTGGGTGGACTGCTGGGCTCAGGTCACCAAGTCCTCAGACACATGGCAGACCCAGAATTTCAGAGTCTTTCAGCACTGAGGACCCAGCCCCAAGTTTTTTCTGAGCTGCACCCATGTCCAGAAGGCACGTGGGTCAGAGACAAGATATCAGCGTGAGGAGCGACAAGGCGGAGAAGCAAGGGGCCAGGGTCAGGAGATGGGGCCAGGCCCCCCACCTACTGGCTCTGTGACCTTGGGGAAGCCACTTTCCCTCTCTGGCCCCCGTTTCTGTATTAGAAAACAGGGCTGGTGTTGTAATACAGCCCAGGTAGAGAGTAAATGCGAAGGAGTTCTGGAAACTATCAAATGCAGTGGAAGAGGGAGCTACATGAAGTGAGGACTTTTTATTATCATTTCCTACTGACGGAGGCTTTGGTGGTGATGGCAGCAAGACGGGCTCAGAGGAGGCCCAGCCAGCACCCGAGGCAAAGCCCCCAGACCGCCTGTTGCAGCAGGGCAGGTGGAGGGGTGGGGATGGGAGGGTCAGGGAGCAGCAAGGGGCGGAGGGGGGTGCGGCTCCCACCTGGGAGAAGATGTTGGCAGCGTAGGCAGCGGCCGTGGTCAGGGAGGTGAAGAAGGTGGCCTTGCCTGCCGTCTGGATGGTGTGGATCATGCGTAGCTGCGGGTCCTCCAGGTGCGCGGCCTGGCGGTAGGTGTTGATGAACACGAAGACATCGTCCACGCCTGTGGGAGGAGCCCGAGAGGTCATGGGCCAGGAGAGTCAGCTGCTCGGCTCTGGGACCAGGCACCCGGCCCTTCCCAGATCTCAGCCTCCTGCCCATGCTTCCTGGGCCTTCCCATCACCCTCCCCTCCTTCGGGCCTTTCTGCCCACCTCATGCTAAGCAAACACCGGTGAGGTGCCTTGGGGTTCACTCTGCACTGCCCCAGAGCTCTGACAGCTGGCAGGCGACTCACCAATGCCCACTATCACGAAGGCGGCCACTCCGTTGAGGATGCCCAAGTACTGGATGCCAAAGACCACGTGGTACAGGAAGAGCGCCACCAGGCAGCTGAGGCCAATGCTGGCAATCCCGAAGAAGGATAGGAACACTGGGCAGGAAAGGTACAGGGCCTGAAGTGGGGCAGACTGTGTGGAACACATACCCTTCACTGCTCCTGAACTGCCCAGGTGTGGGGCAGTTCTAGGCTTTTCATGTCCAAAGACAGGGCTGGACCGGAAGTCTGAGAGGCACATGAGGTCAGAGTGTCCACGGGACCTCATGTTTAGGAACTCATGTTTAGTACTAGTGAGCACTATGACCATTATATAGTCTTTGCCACCTAGGTGGCCAGCAGTTCCGAGGGGCAGGAACTGTGTTAGGTTTGCCCTATAGCGCTGGGCACATGGCTGGTGTCCAATTAGTGTTTGCGGCATGCATGACTGTATGACTTCTCCACTTTAAAGGCATTACCATCTCTTGCTCACTTGGGCAGCAGAGTGCCAAGCACAGACAGAAATCAGTAAGGAGCTGATAGCATACATGGGGAGGGAGGTGGAGGTGGAGGTGGAAAGTAAACCGGAAGGAAAGGGCAGCTGCCTTGGGATATACACAGGCAGCTAACTAATCTGTAAGAGAGTCCAGCTCACGGATACAAGGTCATCCGTGGGATAAAAGGGCCAAAGACAAAAGTTTCTGGGGTGTGGCTCTCAAGAATAGCCCAACAGGCCTCTGGACTGCTGTCTGCCTGCCTAAGGCTGTGAGCTGACTGTTGAACAACCCCTGCTGCCCTGTGCCCAGCCCCAGCAAGCTGCATTCCAGACTGTCCAAGGTTTCTTGAGGATTTAGGCTTTGGCCAGACAGGAGCACCCTGGCAGGAGTGAAGGGGGCTGCACATGGCCTGCAGGAGGCCCTACCTGAGCAAGAGGTGAGGATGTAGACGAGGGCGGCGATGCAGCTGCTGCTGATGAAGGCCAAGAGCATGTCGTTGTTGAAGGTCCTACGCACCTCGTAGTCAAAGAGGTCTGTGCCGCCATAGAGGACCTGGACTTTGCTGGTGGAAGGGAGGGCACGGAGACAGGAGAGGCGAGAGAGGGATCAGAGTACATCATAATCTCGAAAGCAGTCTGAGTAAAAGAGACACATCACACACAGAGGAACAAAGATAAGGACAACAGGAGATTTCTCACTAGAGGCAAAGTAAGTTAGAAGACACTGGAGTGGTGTTTTAGATACCGGGAAATTAGCCCCAAATTCTGTATCCAGCCATCATATATTTCAAAAACAAAGGTCTGCCAGGGATTTAGCTCAGTGGCACTGCGTCTGCCTTGCCAGCGCAAGGTTGTGAGTTCAATCCCCGGTACCGAAACAAAACAAACAAAAAAAGGCCAAATATATATTTTTTAGAGATACCAAAGCTGAAATCATCTCCAGGAAACCCACAATACAAGAAATGTTAAAGGGAGTCCAATGATAACATATGAAAGTGTGAATCTACATAAAGGAAAAGAAAGCTTCAGGATGTGTAAGCTCAAGATCCTGAGTTTGATCCCCGGTACCAAAAAAGAAAAAAAAAGTTTCAGGAACGAAAATAATGTGAATAAAAATAAACACATCATTTAAAAGGCAGGCACTATCAGATTTTTAAAAATGAAGACTAGGCTTCCTATAATAAGCCTATCTAATTAATTTATTTAGCGCTGTGGATTAAACCCATGGCCTTGCACATGCTAGGTAAGTGTGCTATTACTAAGATAAATCCCCAGGTCTGAGAATTTCACTTTAAATATAAAGACAGAAATTTATTAAAAGCAAAAAGATAAAAAGAAATACTATGCTAATATTAATCAAAAGAGTGGTCATGTTAGTAACAAATGAAGTAAATTTCACTGCAAAGAATATTACCACAGATAAAGAAGGTAATTTCAAAATTATAAATGTGTCAATGCATCAAAAGAATATAATAATTCTAATGTTTTGCACCTAATAACAGAGCTTCAGCATACACGAAGCCAAACTGAAGGCACAGGAAAAAGAATAGATAAACCCACAATTACAGTTGAACATTTCAATACCCTTCTTGTAATAATTGCTAGAACAATAAAACAAAATCAGTAAGAATCTAGAATACTTGAGTAACACAATCAACTTGATCTAATTAACATTAACAGAACACTTACCAAATGACAGACCTTCTATTCAAGTGCTCAGAGAACATTTAGCAAGGCAGACCATAAAATGGACCATAAAACGAGACTATATAAATGTAAAAGGACTTAAGTCATAAAAAGTATGTTTTCAGACCACAATGGAATTAAGTTAACATCAGCAAGGGGTGGGGCAGGCAAAGACAGACAGACATCTAGAAAAGCTGCAAATATCTGGAAACTTAACAACATGCTTTAAATAACACGAGTCGATGAAGAGATCAAAAGGAGATATTTTTAACTGAATGAAAATGAAAACATAAAATCTGTTGGATGTGTTAAAGCAGATGTTCTTACAGGAAATTTTATAGCACTAAATATCTGTATTAGAAAAGAAGAAGGTCGGGGATGTAGCTCAGTGGTAGAACATCTCCATAGTGTGCTCTAGGTCCTGGGTTCAATCCCCAGCAACACAAAAAATAAGTAATTAAGTAAATAAACAGAAGAAAAGTTTCAAATCAGTGACTTGAGCTTGTTTTAAAACAGCAGAACCATAAAAAATTAAGTGCAAGTAGGCAGAAGAAAGGAAATACTGAAGATTAGAATAGAAATCAATGAAACAGAGAACAGAAAAACAGAATAATTAAATGAAAATATAGTTTGAGATCAATAAAAATGATCACGTTCCAGCCAAACCAGAGCATGATAGAGAGTAAACACACATGAAGTGGTGAAATCACTAGCTTCTATGAGTACTGAAAAGATAATAGAATATTATGAATGTTTTATACCAAAATTTTTGAATATAAATGAAATGGACAATTTCATAGAGGACTTGAATCACCAAAGCTTACTTCATTTGACATTGTACTGGAGGGCCAGGGATATATCTCAGTAGTGCCACGCCTGCCTGGCAGGCACAGGGTCCTGAATTTGATCCCCAGAACCGAAAAAAAAAACCAAAATAAAAATTACATTGTATTGGAGGTACTATCCAGCGCAATAAGACAAGAAAATAAATCAGAGGCACCCAAATTAGAAAGGAAGAAGTAGGGCTGGGATTTAGCTCAGTGGTTTTGCCACCTGCCTCACAAGCACAAGGTCCAGAGTTTGATTCCTGGTACCAAAAAAAAAAAAAAAAAGAAAGAAAGAAGCAAATTGTCTTCATTAGCAGAAGACATGATTCTATGTAAAAAATCCAAAGGAATCTACAAAAACAAAGCAAAACAAACAAAAAGCAACCCATTAGAACTAGTAAGTAAATTAGCCAGGTTATAGAACACAAAATAAATTATATTTCTATATAGTAGGAATTAACAGTTGGAAGCTAAAATTAAAATCACTATTTACAATAGCATAAAAATATTAAATGCTTGAGGATAAACCCAACAAAGATATCAGATACACTATGCTCATGAGTCATAAGACTCATTACTAAGATATAATTTCTCAAATTGATCTATGGATTACATACAAGATCCAAGTAGACTTTTTTTTTTTTTTTTTTTGGTACCAGGGATCGAACTTGGGTCATTGCACTTGCAAGGCAGGCGGCAGAACCAGCAAGCTAAATCCCTGGCCCTTTTTTATTTTTTTTAGCAAAACCACACTAATTCTAAAATTCACATGAAAATGCAAAGTTCTTAGAATAACTAAAACAGGGCTGGGCTCAGTTGTTCTGTCACTGGCCTCGAAAGAGCAAGGGCCGGAGTTTGATCCCCAGTACCTAAAAAAAAAAAAAGAATAACTAAAATAACTTTAAAGAAGAAAAAAGTTGGAGGAGGACTAACATTGATTTTCAAGAGCTGGAATAAAGCTACAGTAATCAAGGCTATGTTATTCTAGTGTGCAGATAGAAATAGATCAAGAGAATATAAAGTCCAGAAATAGACCCACATTTAAATGACAAGGTACATCTAAGGTGTAAAGGAAATTCAGTGCAAAGAGAATACTCTTTTCAAGAAACAGCATTGGAACAATTATAATAGTCATATAACAACAGTAAACCTCAGTTCCTATCCTGCACTATATATAAAGATTGACCCAAAATAATGGTACTAAGTGTAAAAGCCAATTTAAAAAAGGGCAAATTGGCTGGGCGTGGTGGCGCACACCTGTAATCCAGTGCTCGGGAGGCTGAGGCAGGAGGATTGCTGTGAGTTTGAGACCAGCCTGGGTACATAGTGAGTTCCAGATCAGTCTCAACTACATAGTGAGACCCTGTCTCAAAAAAAAAAAGGGCACATATAGCCAGGCAAAGTGGCTCATGCTAGTAATCCCAGCACAAGGGAGGCTGAAGCAAGAGGATTACAAGTCTGAACCTAGCCTGGGCATTTAAGCAACTTAGCAAGACCTTGCCTCAAAATAAAAAATACAGGCCGGGGATTTAGGTCAGTGGTTCGGTGGCCTGCCTTGCAAGCGCAAGGACCCGAGTTCAATCCCTGGTACCAAAAAATAAAAAAATAAAAAATACAAGAAAAGGGCTGGGGATGTAGCTCAGTGTTGAAGCCCTTAATTTAATCCCCTGTACCACACACAAAAAGAATTAAAAACTCTGCAAAGGTAGTTCACCAAAGAAGATAAATGAATGTAAATAAGCATGCAAAAAGAAGTTCAACATCCCTAGCAACTAGGAAAATGCAAATTGAAACCAGTGAGATGCCACTGTATACCTATTAGAACACCTACAATGTTTTACACTGACCATGCCAGGTGTTAGAATGCACAAGTGGAATTCTCACCCTACTGCTGGTAGAAATACAAACTGGGACAATCAACTTGGAAAAGAGTTTGTAGTTTCTTAGAGCATGACATAGTCATCTACTATATGACTGGGTTATTTCACTTCTAGGTATTTAAGAACAAAAATGAAAGTACATGTCCACACAAAGGCTCATATACAAATGTTCTTTGAAGCTTTATCTGTAATAGCTAAACCTGGAAACAACCCAACTAGCCATCAACAGTTGAGTGGATGAACAAAACGTGGCCATCTCCATATAATGGAACAGACTCAGAATTCAAAAAATAAGAGTAAGATGTTGGTATATGCAACCATGTGAACACACCTCAAATTAATTAGATGGGATGAAAGAGGCCAATCAAAAGAGTATATGCTGTATCATGCCAATTACATAAAACTATAGAAAATGAAAACCAATATATAATGACAGAAAACTGAGTGGCAGCTTAGGGTAGGTGTTGGGAGGGAGGATGGACCAATTTCAGGGGCACGAGGGAACACTGGAGGTGATAGATATATACTATCATATGTGTGTGTGTGTGTGTGTGTGTGTGTGTGTCATATGGTAGGCAAGTGGTCTACGACTGAGTTACCTCTTGACCCTTTTTTTAAGTTTTAAAAATTGTGGGACAGAGTCTCACTAAGTTACTCAGACTGGGCTTGAACTTGCGATCTTTCTGCCTCAACCTCTCAACTACAGCTGGGATTGCAGGTGTATGCAACTGCACCCAGCTGGGTATGTTCACTATCTTCAATGCAATGGCAATTTTGTGGTATATACATGTGTCAAAGCTAATCAAATTGTAAAGTATTTGCAGTTGGTTGTGTGTCAATTATACATCAATACAGTTGTTAAAAACATGAACAGGACATATGAAAACCAAGTAGAAAAGATCTCTGGATTACCCACTTTGTTGAATTAAACAGCTTAATTGTTCTTTCTTCCGAGTAGAAATGTGAGAGTTAAATCAATCATTATTCATTTACACATTAATTTGTAAAGCTTTATAGAGGGCTGTCCAGGTTCCAAGTCTTGTCTTAGTTCTCAGCTATAAAAATATACAACCCAAACGTTTACTCTCAAATAGAAAAGAACAGCTCATGAAAGGCCAGAATCCTTGCCTAGAACTACAGCTGTCCCTATTGAGGGAGCACTGGACCAGGAGCCCCTCTAATATGAAAACCCATGGATGCTCAATGACCTTGTATACAATGGTGTAGTATTTGCATATATCCTACACATATCCTTCCATACACTTTATACTATCTTATCATCTGTAGATCACTTACAATACCTAATAAAATGTAAATAATTGTTACAGTGTATTTGTCAGGGAATGATAAGAAAAATCTGTATAAGTTTAGTGCAGATACATTTTTTACTTAATATTTTCAATCCATAATTTGTTGAATCTGAGGATATAGAACCTGAGGTGTGATGATACCAAAAATCCAGATAAAACTCAGAAATCATTTGTCTCATGACAGCAGAGTTGCTAAATAAGAACTAGGAGGCTAAGTCTCCAGAAAGTGAATTTAAGAAAGGTAAGCTGCCCATGTATGGCCACTTTTATCTTGGAGGTATCTGCTGCTTCTGAACATGGGCAAAGGACTAAAAATCTTGGCTGGGAGTCAAATAAATTAGCAGAGCTTGGGGAAGAGATGTGCACACTAGTAGGACACATGGCCAGTTTTTCCCTTAACACTTTTGCTGAAAGACTGGGCTGTATGGGGCTTGAGGCTAAAAATACCCAAGCAGAAAGCCTCAGGGAAACGCAAAGTGGGGTTTTGTAAGTAGCTTTGAGAAATAAAAACTTAAGTTTGCAACATGTCATGGGAAAGGACTCTGCAGAATACACCAGGCTCTTGGTTGAGAATCCTGGAGAACTTGGAGCAAACGAGAGGTACACTGAGAACTTTTAGGTCTGCAAACGATCCTTGATTTCCTATAGTCACTGTTGGTGAAGGTGATCAGTCATACAGCTACCAACCTAGAGAAGGGAAGGATAAACTTTCTGTGAGGGAAGAATATCACTTCAATCTCTTGGTTTTTATACAAAATGTTCAGCATGCCATAAAAACTACCAGGTTACTCACAGGCAAGGCCACATGACTAAAAACCAAGTGAGAGAACAGACTGCAGAAGCAAATCCACAGGTTATTCATACATTGAAGTTACCTGATAAAAACTTTAAAGTAACCATAATTAATATATTTAATAACAGAGGGAGACTATGTACAAAAAAGTAAAATATGAAAAATTTTACCAGTGATGCAGATCTATAACAAAGAACCAGTGGAGATTTTAAACAGGAAAGCAGAACATTAGCAATAAAATCTCAACAGAAATTAAATGACAGATTAGACATAACAGAGTACAGGATTAGTGGACTGGAACACTTAAACCAAAGGATAGATAGATAAAACCTAGAAAAGAGAATTGATAGATGGGACCATAGTCCTAAAAAGAGTTACAGAAAACAAGGGAGAAGCAATATTTGAAGTGATAACCGTCAGGAAATTTCTAAAACTGATGATAATCATCAACTTAGAGGCTTAAGAAGTTCTGTGACCCAAGCAGAACAAATAAAACCACACAAACACTCGTCATAGCAAGACTGGTGAATCTAAAGACAAAAAGAAATCCTAAACCAGAGGACAAAACACAGTCATTTAAAATAGCAACACAAAGATTTACACCCGACTTTTCTGCAGAAATGATGGAAGTTAGAAGACACTGGGGTGACATCTTTAAAATATCAAAAGAAAATAACTGCCAACTTATAACTCAACATCAGCAAGAACAGACTTCAAAAGTGGAAGTAAAATAAAGATGTTTCCTAGGCAAATAAAACAGAATTTATCATTGGCAAACCTGCACTAAAAGAACAGTAAAGAGAGTTCTTCAAACACAAGGTAAATGATCCCAGAGGGAAATGTAAAGTTGTAGAAAGCAATGAAGAACAAGAAAGGTAAATATGTGAATAAATATAAAAGAATACAGACTCTCTACAATAACGCAATGTCCTGTGGGATTTCCAATGTATATAGAATTAAAATGCACGCAACAAAAACACAAAAGGTGGAAGAGGAATAAATACAGAGAAAGTGCTCTAGGATTCCAGCATTATCAGGGAGTAATTTGTATTATTCTGTATTAAGTCAAGGTATGTGCTACCATTTCCTGGATCACCAATAATAGGATAATAAAGAAGACTGTGCTCATTCAAAAGGCAGCATTAACATCAAATCCACAAGGGCCCTGGCTGTCACTGCTGTTACGAAGCTCCAGGAGGAAAGAAAAGGAAAGATTGGCTTTTTTCTTAAGGCCAGAGATTTTGCTTCAGTAGCTGAACACTGAAGGCAGAAATAATCACCAGTATCTAAAACCCTGAAGATCCTTTCACCATCAGCCCCTCTCAGCTGTCTTTCCCTGAGGCACCACTGCCCATACATTATCAGATAAATCCTGACTAAGGGGTGCCCGTACTGAGGACAGACCTACAGAAATGTGCCAGGCACAATCCCGGACCTCAACAAACTCACATTCTATTGTGACAGATAATTAAAGCAGATCTTCCTCGAGCTTTCATGTGCAAATCGCCTGGAGGTACTGCAGTTCTGGGAAAATGCTTGTGACTCCGTATGCCTGACAATCCTGCAGGGGATGCTGAAGCTGCTGATTTAAGGACTGCCCTTTGAGTTACAACTGAAACAGAAAATGACAAGTGCTAGGATGAAACTGGAGCTCGGAGAAGTGACACTGCTCATGGAAATGCCCACAGCTAAGAAAGGAGTAACTGGGATCTGATCCCACAGATACCTAACTCCCGCGTATGCTCTTTCTTGTCCCCCTTGGGGAGAAGGAAGGGGACCGTGAAAATGGGTAGGGTGAGCATTAATCGACCCGCAGGGAAAAACAGCCCAAAGCTGGATCTTAACAGATGAACAGGCATTTGCCCGTCAAAGACGCAGGGCAGCGTGAAAGTTCCTAATGCATCAACTGGCATAAAAACTCAAGGGGCGAGGGCTCTGGATTCGAAAGCCTGCACATGAGTCCCATTCCACCACTGATGAGCTTGACAGTTTTGGACAACTTAATTGTGCTGCAGCTCAACTTCCATACGGTGACAATCATAACAGCAGCCACCTCATTTGGTTGGGGTGAGGATTAAATGATGGGGGAATAGAAAGGGCTGTGAACCGTGTGTGGTCCAGAGCAAATGCTCAATAAACAGCTTGGATTATGGTAGTGGTTGTTCGGTACAACGATGCGCAATGAAAGGAATGAGGGTATTTTAGGCAGGATTCCTACTGGGCCTGGCCTGTCAGGGCTGGGACTGGAACACACTGGAGTTATCACCCAGGACTGTCCCAGAGGGGAGGAGCTGACTGCATTCCCAGATATAACACCCTAAGGCACTTTCACGCCAGAGCACCATCACACCTGTTAGCTCATCTCCTCCTAATCACCAGGCTACCAGGTCATGATCCCCATTTCATAAGCAGGGACACTGATGTCGAGGGAAAGGAAGCGAATGGCCCACTGTCTCTCTGGATATTAGAGGCAGAGAAAACTCCTTCTCCTTGGCCAGTGATCTTCTAGCACCATCCTAGGAGATAATCAACACCCAAGCATTCTAAGGCAAAAGATCTAGAATCACCTACCTCCCTTAAAGCTGTCAAGTTCACTAACCATTAGCACTGATCAAAAAAAGGGGCCTAGCCAGGCGTGGTGGCGCACGCCTGTAATCCCAGCACTCGGGAGGCTGAGGCAGGAGGATCGCTGTGAGTTCGAGATCAGCCTGGGCTATACAGTGAGTTCCAGGTCAGTCTCAACTACATAGTGAGACCCTGTCTCAAAAAAGCGGGGGCACACCCTGGGTGGGGATGCACTTCCTACCTAGTAGACTGTTTGGCTAGCATGGCCACGTAGGTGACCACAAAGCTCTGGAACTTGGCCCGCTGCTCCTCCCAGCGGTCATCCACTGAGTAGTAGTTGGGCAGTGGCGCTCCAAACAGGATCTCGCTGCGCAGGAGGGAGCTCTTCAGATTGTCAGCGGAGAGGCCCTCGTCCACGTACCAGTAGAACTCAGGGTGCGTCATGGCCAGCTCTAGGGAGCCTGCAGGGGCAGGGTGAGGCCCAAACAGCTCAGCACCACCCTTCTCCACCACCTCACCCCTACCCAAGGAGCTGGGAAACTCCCACTCGGGCTGCCTGTGGTCCCCAGTGGGGCAGTGATGGTTTAAAGAACCGACACTGGGTTTTCTAGGAAAAGCATTACCCCCAGACCTGCTCAGACAGAGCCCACTGTGTCTAAGCTTTCTTTCGATTGAACCCCACCTGGTTCTCGGTCTCCGTGCTCCTATATTTCTACCTCCTAGGTCCTATTCCAGTGTCCTCTCCAGTGTCCAGGAAGGATAGGGGTCTGCCCTGCCCACACCCCCCACCCCTTTAAAAGGTCACCCAAACCCTGCCCCAGCTCTCACAACTGTTCTCTGGCCCTGTCCCGCCACTCCTCAAGTTCAATCCCTAGTTTACCTATAACTAACCGATCTTCCTTCAACCCCAGGCTCTCTCCTACGTCCCTCCTGCCAGATGCCTGTCCTCTAGCCGACCTCTTGGCCAAGCTCCACTCCATGCTTTCCTTCACTGGCCACAGCATAGCCCTCCCTCAATATAATGCCTCCCTCTCGCACCGCTCAGCCCTGTTTCTGCCTGCACCCTCCCGGCCCTTTCTCTTCTCGCCCCCACGTTATGGCCAGCTTTTAGCTCCAGCCTGGCAGAGCTCACCGCCCAGACTCAGAAGTGCAAGGCCCGCCCAGACCCACCCGTATCTGCTCACCCCGGATGTCGGCCAGGTCCTGGCCCATGCCATCGTAGTAGATCTTGCCACCCCTCTCGGTGGGGAAGAAGTAGGTCATGAGCGAGCTGGGTGGGGAACAGTAGGAGTAGGAGCCAAGTGGCAGGTCCTTGAGCACCTCGTGAGGCTTCCAGCAGAACTCCCGGAAGCCCGGGTGGTCCATGATCTTGCGCTCGATCTCGTGGATTGTGACCAGCCGCTCACTAGTGAAAATGTTGCGCTCTGCATCTCCGCGAGCGAGAAAGATGAGCTCGATGCGCCAGTGCGCATGCGTCTGGGTGTTGGCGCTCACGTAGGTCCTAGAATAGTCCCAGCGCGAAGCACCCCGGCGGGCACGGCTCTGATTGGACGCTGCAACTGTAGGGGGCGGAGTGCTGGGCTGGTGCCGCCCATTGCTGTCGGTAGGCAGATCCCTCGAAGCGTTACTCTGGTTGGCCACTAGATCCTTCAGGGGCGGGGCCTCACGGCGAAGACGCCCACTCCGATTGGCTGTTGGATTTTGGGCCGCCATGGTATCCCAGGTGTCCCCTGGGAAAGCGCGTGGGGCTCTGGAGGCCTGGCGCGAGCGGTTCCCGAGATGGAGCTGCTGGAGTTGCTCTGAGATGAGGCGCTGAAGCGTCTCGGAGGTGAAATCTGCCAAGTCTCGCCTGTTGCGACCCCAAGATCCAAACTGGGATTTGAGTGCCAAAGCCAGGGCGTCAAAGCGCTGCGAGGCCTCGTGGTTGCGGATCTCAAAGGCGTTGTAAGAGATGTCGATGTCCAGCGGTGGGTAGTAGAGGAACATGAAGGCCGACAGGGCCATGGGGATGCTGCAGCCCAGGAAGAGCACTAGCCCAGCGCAGCACGGGTTGGTGAAGGCCCAGCCCAGGGTACTCCAGAAACCCGAGGCTGGGGGCCGGGACGGAAAGGTCCAGCGCTGCCAGCAACACTGGCCTCCTGCCCTTGGCCGGGGCCCTGACTCCTGGGTCCCCTTAAAGGATTCCCCCGTGGCTTCTTCTTCCTCCTGCTCCTCCTCTAGCCACACGTCCTGCAGCAGGGGGTCATCTTCTGAGTCCATAGTCTATGGGAGAGGGAGAGGGCACAGCCTGGAGAGAGGGCAAGGAGAGAGCCCGTGGCACCAACCTGGCACCAACCCTGCCCACTCTAACAGACACGAATGCAGTGATGGGATGGCATCCAGCGCTACTGAACCGGACCACGTGTGCACCAAACAGAAAGAAAAATCCTGTTATTTGCTCATCATCTCTCCCAACTAGATCTTGGCTTTCAAGGCCACGGAAAAAGAATTACAGCCCAATTGCAAACACAGAAAAAATGTTTCTTCCTCTGTAAGGAAGAGAGGCTTATGAGAAGAATTTGCCTACAGATGGTTTTCCAGTTTTTGCTGCATTCTGACTTTAAAACTCAAGGCCACCGTCAAAGGGGATTCCACAGCAACTGCTTTTGTTTAGTGAGCACCTGTAAAGTACCTTCAGGAAGTCGGTGTCACAGTAGAAAGGAAAGGACGTGGTATTTGGAATATGACACACCCTGGTTTGGGTCCTAGCAATGTGACGGAGGGCAAGAAAGGGAGTCGTCATGTATAGGACATGATCTCAGGGTCAAAGGTGGCAGTAGCCCACAGTCTCCAGTACATTAAGGTACCGTCTGCCACAGAAGCAGATTTCTTTCCTCCCCTTTGGGGACTGTAACATTCTCAGCCTTTGCCCAGGAGGCTGTGCCAGGGCGAGGTGCCAGTCATAGCTCTCCTCCAGCCCTCAGTAGCTCCCCGCCTCTCCTGGATGCTGCAGCTGCAGCCCTTGTGGGGCTCAGACCACTTATTATGCAGCTCCAGCAACATCAAACCTTTGGGCATGGGCAGGGCCGGGCATCTGCCTCCCTGAGATTTGAGCACAAGCGGTGGGGGGCCTGGCAGGAGAGAGCAGGACTGGGCAGCCCGAGGGCTCCAGGGAGGTGGCCCAAAGGCAGGACACCTTCTGGCACCCCCGGCATGGCCTGTCCCCTTGTCCTGCCTGCCTTCTGTTCGGACAGAGAGAGGATCATTATCCAGTTAGATGCCAGGCAGCGAGAGGAGGGAGCTAATTATTCCAGAGCCGGCTAATTAATGCTTCCTTTCCTATTAGCATGCTCTGGAGTGCTCCATTTCAATTAGATGGCCTGTCCTGGAAGAGAGGGGGCTGCTGTCAGTCCAGAGAAAGTGAGGAAGAGAGGGCGAAGGGAAGCAGGGAACGGGAACAGACATAGGAGGGACTGGAGACAGAGAGAGAAGGAAAGAGGAGAGAGACAGGAGGATGGAGCAGCTGGGGGGTGGGGAGAGACAGATGCGAGGAAGAGAAATAAAAAGAGGAACAGAGTGACCAAGAGGGGGGTTTCCCAGGGTGGGTGGGAGAGGAGGGGTCTGCTCGAAAGAGAGAGGCCCGGAAAGGGTAGGAACTGCTCCTATAAGATGCCAAGATTCCTACCCGTGAGACGATGAACTTCCTATTTTACACCTTTTGTGGGGACCAAGTCAGCCCACCGCATCCCCACTTCCGCCTGCCCGGCAGGGAGAACACTGTCCAGTGTGTCGGTGTATGAGGGGGTCAAAGCCCGGGACTCTGGGTCACAGCAACCTTCCCTGGGCGATGTGGGTGCTGCTGCCTCTCCAGATTCTGCCCCCTTCTCCCAAAGGTGCCCAGATCCCATTCATCTTTCAAGGCTTTGCTCAGTGTCACCTCTGCCAAGAAGCCTTCCCAGACCTGAGCCCCACGGCTGCCTGTCTAAACTTCTCACCTCCCTTCCCACACTGCACCTGGGGGTAAAATTACTTTGGGGGAGGAGTTTGGCCGCATGGTAAGGGCCATGTCTGCAGGCTTTGGAGCCTAGCGGACTTGGATGTAAATCCCAGCCAGTGTGACTTAAAGCAGGCAGCGTAACCTTTCCAAGCCTCAATCCTCCCATCCACAGAGTGGGGCTGACAGTGCCCACCGCAGAGGTGGTCGGAAGACTGGGGTAAACAGCAGCCCGCATGTGGTGCCTGGTAGGTCTGTGCATGAGAAAAGATAGCATTTATTATTCTATCTTCTGTGTCCTCCACCCCAAGGGCAGGGAACTCCACAAGGATTCACGCAACAGATTGCTTTTTCCAAAGATGCCATGCCAATGTCTCCTGTGTCCCATGCTGTCTGCAGAAGGGACTTTGGTGCATTCCTCCCCCCAGTCTGGGTCTACGGTGGGCATGCTGCCCTGAGGCCTTGAGAATGGGGATAAAGACAGATGCGGAGTCCGCTGTGCTCTTTCAGGACGCTGATGCTGGGAACCCTGTCCATGCTGTGGGAGGCCTGTGTGGAGACCAGCGGACAACCAGTCAGCCAGCCTGGGGTGGGAACGTGTGAGTGGCGCCACCTGCAGGTGGTCCCAGCCCCGATCACGAAGTGACCCAGTTATTTTTTTCCTGGCCAGGCTCAGTTACTACAGAGTCCCCTCCTGAGCCACAGACTCCACGAGCACAGCACAAAGGTGGTCACATGTCACTGTGGTGGGCACGCAGTAGCAGTGTTTGCTTTGAGAAGCCCAGGTCCACAACAGTGATGCAGTCCTTGCTGACAGCATTTGGGGGACTTACGGCACAGCCATGCCACCTTCCAGTAAAAGTGACACAACTAGGGGGCGTGGCTCCAAGGGAGCAAGGTGTGACCTTAAAAACTCCTGGGAGCCAGGTGTGATAGTGCACACCCGAATCCCAGCACTTTAGGAGGGTGAGGCAGGAGGATCTCAAGTTCCAGCCCAGCCTGGGCAATTTTGTGACCCTGTCTTAAAATAAAAAGGGCTGCAGATATAAGTCAGTGCAAAGGGCCTGGGGTCAATCCCTAGTGTCAGAACACAAAACAAAATCCCTCCTGGGAGAGGTGGTCAGTGTTTGGCAGGTAGGTGTTGAATGAAGGAAAGGAGTCTAATGATCTTGGGTTAGGCATTCTCAAAACTTGCCCCTGCACAGAAAGGACAGTGAATCCCCAGAGGGGACAGCTCCACCTGGGTTTGGAAGCATGAGGTGGAGTCTGTCACTCCCACGCCTGCCTTCTCGGTCACCCCCCAAACGAAGAGCAGCCACGTGGGGAGTCACACCACACTCGTGGCCCACTGACATATCCCCCAGCCTGCCTCTGCCACCAACTTTCTGTGTGGCCCCGGTCCTCTCGGGGCCCTATCTTCCCCATCTCGAAGTGAAAAGGTGGTGGTCCTGTGACAGCCCCGGGTCTCTAAGACTCCCAAGCATTGTCTCTTCCCAGGCTTTGTCCCAAGAAGGGCGGGTGCCACCTCCGAGACCCTCCACTCCACCACGACGGGCTCCCTCACTGCGTCCCAGCTGCAGCCGCCTCCTTGGGCCCCTGCAGGCACGCGGGCAGGCTGGGCAGCAGACTGAAGATACACTTTTCCTTCTCAAGTGATGGGGATGGATTAGCTTGGTGAGGCGCCGCAGCTGCTCCGCGGGAAGGAACGAGGGCAGCCCCGCCGCAGCTGTGCCCAACGCAGCCACGCAGGACTCTGGTCCCCATGAGGTGGGCTGTGAGCAGCGCCCTCTCTCTGTGTCTGTCCCTGTCTGTCTGTCTCTGTCTTTCCGTCTCTCCTGTTTCTCTTTCACGCTGCCTCTGTCTCTCCCTCTCCCTCTCTCTCTCTCACACACACACACACACACAAACACACACTCAGTCAACATTTAAACTCTGGGTCTCCCTGGGGGCTGCAAACCCAAGTGGGCTGCCTCCAAGGGGACAGGAGGCCTGGGAGCCTGGGAAAGAAGAACTTCACCCAGGTTCAAGGCTGGCTTTGGGTTGTAAATTGAAAAAAAGGAAAGAAAAAAAAAAAAAAAAACCATATGTGTGTATTTAAATAAAACCCATTAACAGCGGTTATCGCTGTTTGGAAGGATTTTGGGTGATTTTCATTTTTCTTTTATACTTGTCTGTTTCCAATTCTCCTGCAATGATCAGGTACAGCCTTGCTTTTAGAATCAGAAATAAATGTTATTTAAAAATAGAATGTGCGTGTATGTGGAAAAAAAAAAAAAAAAACCATATGTGTGTATTTAAATAAAACCCATTAACAGCGGTTATCGCTGTTTGGAAGGATTTTGGGTGATTTTCATTTTTCTTTTATACTTGTCTGTTTCCAATTCTCCTGCAATGATCAGGTACAGCCTTGCTTTTAGAATCAGAAATAAATGTTATTTAAAAATAGAATGTGCGTGTATGTGGAAGGGATTTGCTAGCAGCCTTCTACTCTTTGAGGAGTTACTATAATGGGCCTGGGAGGAGGACTCTGTCCTCCAAGGAGAAAGTCCAAGGAGAGCTGGCTTGGGTTGGAGCAGGAGGGAACACGGCAAGAAAGCAGAAGGCCATGGAGACGGGGACCTGGCAGATGCTCAGTGGGCAAAGCAGCGTGGGGCCTCCTGGTCCCCTGACATGAGGAGAGGAGGCCTGAAAGGACCGGAAGTAGATGGTGGCTCACTGGACCCCAAAAGGACTTGGGGCACATCTAGTCCAATGCCTTTATTTCACACACAGTGATCCTGAGACCCAGCAAGGAGGAAGTCAGAATGTCCAAGGTCACCTGGGCAGAGGGAGGGCCAGGACTCTGGGCTGGAACTTTTCATCTTCCTCCACCACCAGATTCTAAGGGGGGCTTTTGCCAAGCCCAGGGAACACCCAGGCCTGGAGAAGGTGGCATGTGGATCCAAAGAGCCAAAACAGGAAAGCTATTTTTAAAGTCGAAGAGGAAAGCATTGTTCAAGTCTCAAGGCAGATGGACCTGCCCATTTGGACAGATGTGGCTCTGGGTCAGGGGCGGTGCGACACCACCCAGGCCCCCAGGGACCTTGCTCTTTTCCTGAGTGGCGGCCCCAGACGTGGCACTAGCCAGAGCCTCTCTGCCACCCTGTTTACAAGTTTCCTCCTTTGGCAAAGGATGCCAGAACCTTCCCTCTCCATTCCCCCATCCCAGCCAGACTATTAAAATGTAATCAAAAAAATCACATTAGACATGCAGATTCAACTTAAAATACGTATACATATATATAATTTA